TGTGGAAAAACTTCCTCCTACTATCTAAGCTAAACCTCCCCTGTCTCAGTTTAAAACCATTTCCCCCTTGTCCTGTCACTATTCCCCCTCATAAACAGCCATTCCCCTTCCTGTTTATATGCTGCCTTCAAGTACTGGAAGGCCACAATGAGGTCTCCCCAGAGCCTTCTCTTCTCCAAGCTAAACAATCCCAGTCCCCTCAACCTTTCCTCATAGGAGAGGTGCTCCAGCCCTCTGATCATCTTAGTTGTGGCATTCTTTGCAATCGCTTGCAGCCTGGGACTGCTTTCTGGCTTTGAATTATTGGATAGCTTTTGCTATTTTTTTCTTGTTGTGACATCCTTCCTACCATACAATACATGTGACGACTGCCATTTAGTGTATATATAGAGAGGGGTTGTTTATTTTAGTACCAATTGTCACACCTGCTATAAACATACTACATATTTCAGTTGCTAAATGTCTAATAACAACTGCAGTGCCCTTTAAAACTGACTTAACACTGAGATGGGAAGTGGCTGCTGTGAACTTCCTTTCAGTGATGTGTCTGGGCTGGAGTTATTTGGGGCTGCAATGGTTGATTCTTTTTTGCGAGGAGGGGAAGAATATTAAAAGGTAGTGAGCAGCCTTGGAATAACAGATACTGTTGGGCTTTCCTAGTGGTGAGGAAGGATAATTTGGGTACAGGGAAGTGAGTTGGTCTGTATTAGATTTAAATTCTAAGAAAATGCTACAATGAAAATCTCCTCTTGATTTGGTTTAATGTATTTCTGCAGTTCTTAAAATAATTGTGGCAAATGGAACAAGGTTTAAAGCATATAAAAATGGAAAACTTTCATTCCGTCTCTGAGAAGCATGCCAAGTGATTAAAATTAAGGTAAAAAGGAATTTGTGGAAGAAATGAAGAGCATGGTCTTCTCTGGAATGTGAGTGGTATGGAAATTTGATTTGTACTATAATAAGTAACAACAGGTGATTCGTGGCCTAATAGGAAAAGCAGGCATATGTGGATTTTTACCATTTACATGGTTGGAAATAGTTGAAATCTGAGAAGGAGGGACAGCTGCTGCACAGCAGAAGTATCCAAAATAGCAATGCACCAAAATTTTAATAAGAATCTTGAAACGTTGATGGTTAGCTTTTGAAGACTCACAAATAGGATGTAGTAATGAAGTTGTATTAGAAAACAACACCTTCAGTGAGTTCTAGGATCACCTGGACTGGAGAGAAGTGGAGAACTGGGTGGAAGAGGAGGAAATATGGATGTTTGTCAGGGAAAACTGGACAGTGAGAATGTGCAAGCTAGGTGAGGGGACAGGCTCAGAGTGATGTAATCCATGGCATGAAGGCCATCCAGGTGGGTACCAGTAGTGGTGTGCCCTCGGGTCCGTACTGGTGTCAGTATGGGATGATAGGGCAGAGTGAACTCTTAGCAAGTTTTCTGATGACACAAAACTGAGAGGAGTGGCTGACAGACCCCATGGCTTCCATTCACAGCGACCTCAGCACAGTGGAGGAGAAATAGGCTGACGGGAACTGCGTGACGTTCAGCAGAGAGAAGCCTAAAGCTGTACGTCTGGGAAGGAACAACCAGGAGGCTGGTGGTCAACTAGCAGAGAGGGAAATCCTGTACAAGATGGCTACAGCTCACAGGCAAGGAGAGGAATGTCCTGTTCTGTATCCTAGAAAGTCAAACAGTAAATAGGCATTCAAAAGAGGTTTTGTATCAGGTGAGGTGACAGACATAGGAGGCAATATGGTGACACGTTGAATTCCTGGGTTTTTTTAATGTTGAAGTTGGTCTTAATTGTAATTTTTCTTGAGCAGAGACAGGCGTGTGAGTGCTCCTGCAACATTCAGGAATCTCTTTCTAGGGCTGCATGAGGACTACAGCTGCTACACACAGCAAACCAGGGTGACCAGCAGATGTCAGCTCTTTGGCTCAGTGCAGTTTTTTTTTTAATATAGTGGTATTTTGAAACACTCTGCTTTTAAGCCTCAGTGTTAATGTTCATAGGGATATTCATGATTTTTGAAAGCTTTTTGAAAGATGAATGCATCTATGTCCTGCTTAACTATTAACTAGATGCAGAAAACCATGGCCCACAGGGGCTGGCCCAGAAACAGAAGTGGTGAAAAGGTAATCAGATGCCTGGTACATGAATTTGGTTTGGCTTTGTTTTAGTAGAATTCACACTGTGGAAAGGATGCTTGAATTCTGCACATCTCTTATGTCAATAAAGGCAGTTTGTCTTCCAGCTAACTTAGGTTTGATTCTTAGTGTGGAAGGCTAACATTTGCCATCAGCTCGTATTTGCCTCCACGCAGATACTACATAGTGCACAGTTTATCTTACACTAACTTACATATCTTTAGGACACAGTATGTGAGATGAGTCATAAGCAAATGGCAACACCCTTCACTCAGTGGGGATGGGATCTTTTTAGTGTTGCTTTAGTACAAGTGAATCAACTCCTGCACTTTCTGTACTGTCACTGACTGCAAGAATTATTGCTGGAGTAAATCATGACATCTTAATCTTGCAAAGGTCAGTGTTTTCTTTGGCTGTACAAAATGCAAACAAGTGTAAGGTATGAATTCCTGCTAGTGCAACTTCACTGTGCCAAGAAGGTTTAGATCAAGTGTAGGGAAGGATTTTTTCATGGAGAGGGCAGCCAAGCACTGGAATGGGCTGCCCAAGGAAGTGGTGGAGTCCCCATCCCTGGAGGTATTTAGGACATGAGTGTGCATGGCACTGAGGGATGTGATTTAGTGATGGGACTTGGTAGGTCAGGTGGATGGGTGGGCTTAGTGATCTTGAAGGTCTTTTTCAACTGAGATAATTGTATGATTCTGTGATTCTGTTCTATGAATTCAATCTTCATTATCTTGAGCTTCTTTTGAGCCCATGAACAAATAATTGCAGCATTATGCTTCTCTGAAACTTTTGGGCTAGGAAGAATATGTAGAATTTCTTTCTCTCCAGTGAGAAGAGAGTTTGTGGGGAAGCACAGAAGGCACAGCTGTTTTGTATGAAGAAAACTACAGGGGAGACTAAATTAAGTAGATGATGGAGAGCCAGCTTTGAATAGCAAATGCTGTTTGGCAATACTGTAGAATTCATGTTAGAGTTTAAAAAAAAAAAAAGTGAATGTGCATGCTATTATAGGTCTGCTCGCTATTTATTGGCCTGTGCTCGGTTATTCTAAAAACAAAGTGCTTTTAGCTTTTGTATTACGTAGATTCATTAGGGTCTTCTGCTGTCCTGCTAAGCGTGCCTCGACAAAAATCTTGAATGCAGTTTTTTTTTTCCCACCTCTAGAGAGCACCCTTAAGCTGCTTTCGTGGAGCAGTCCCAGTGAAACTTTCAGCACTTACTGAGTGATAAAGGTTTGAATTTAAATGTTTGATCTCTTAATTATTGCATTCTGTAGCCTTATGCTACCAAGGAAATACTTAGTATTGCACATGATTACTATGCTTTGCTTTTCACGTGCTCTTCTGAGATTAACATTCTGCTGCACACATTCACTTACTGATGAGCTGGAAGTGGACTCACAATTGCTACTTAGAAATTCATATTGTATCTGAAATTAAAAATACAGGATTCCAGAACTGGATTTAGCTACACTGTCTATTATTTCAGTTGATTTCAGGCTTGCCTTTTCTTTCCAGTCTCATCAGGAGCAAATCATAGTTGCTGTGGACAGGACTACACAGCTACTTTATTCCCCCATAAAACCATTTGGCCATTCCCTGCCTTGTGTCAGTGATGGAGCCAGTATGAGGAAGCAGAGCTGCCAACAGACCCAGCTGGGTTTTCCATTGTGTGGGTTACCTGCTCTGGCACCTGCTCTGCACATCCACCAGCGGTAGCAGAAGGGAGATGGAAACAAGCCTGGGTGTTGGAAGCGCTTCTCAAGATCATGGTTGCAATGCAAAGCCAGCCCAGGAGCAGCTGTTCCTCTGTTGCTCTCATCCAGGGGAAAGCAGGGGAAGAGGAGGCTCTGGGCAGGAAAGGGTCTTCAAATTAACTTCACCTTAAAACATGATGGAGAAAACAACTGCAAATACAAATACTGATTTAGAGTACACAGAACAATCTCACTCCATAAGAACCCATTCTCCACCCGGAGCAGCCAGGGACAATGGTGTCACAGAGTTAACTAGATCAATTTATGCCTGTGACAGGGGGCAGTAGGCCCCTCCCCACCCCCCGCCTGGCCC